TTTTTCTGAGAAGCTGCATGTTATATACCATCATCATCTCAGGTCATTTTGATCTCAGATTTGTTCTCTTTTTTTCTTTTTCTTTTTAGAGAGAGAGAGAGAGAGTTTTTAATATTTATTTTTTAGTTTTCGGCGGACACAGCATCTTTGTTTGTACGTGGTGCTGAGGATCGAACCCGGGCCGCACGCATGCCAGGCCAGCGCACTACCGCTTAAGCCACATCCCCAGCCCTCAGATTTGTTCTCTAATTCTAGGGATGGCAAAATTTTTCTGAAAAGGGCTAGATGATAAATAGTTAGGCATTGTAAACCAAAAATGATCCTGTCACACATTTCTGTGTATATTTAACGACTCTTTAAAAATGTAAAAACTTCAGGGGATAATGTCATATGCCTGTGATTCCAGCAACTGGGGAGTCTGAGGCAGGAGGATTGGAAGTTCAAGGCCAGCCTGGCCAACTGAGCAAAACCTTGTCTCAAAAAAAAAAAATAAAAAAGGACTGCAGTGAGGCTCAATGGTAGGCGCTTGCCTGGCATGTATGAGGCCCTCCATTCAACCACCAGTACTGGGGGTGGGGGGTGAGAACTGTTTTCAGCTTAAAAACTTGTGCAAAAAGACCTGGCTGCAATTTGCCCACCACCACTTTAGCAAGTTTCTGATTACAGCTCCTGGAGACAGGGTGCCAATTTTGCTGGATATAAAATCCTTGGCTCACGTTTTCTTTCTTTATGGGTATTAAACATGTTATTTCATGTTCTTCAAGCATAAAACTGTACAATTGAAGTGTGATGATACACAAATTGTCCTTATTAAGTTGCTTGCTCTTGTTACCTCGATGCCTAAGAATGTTTTTCATATTCTTTGCAATCCACTTGTTGGTCACTCTAGGTTGATATTCTCAGGCATGTGTTCTTGTTTCCAATATATCTAGTTTTTAACTACTTTGAAATAGTCATTAGTTTTCATCTTCAAGGGATCAATTTTGCTTATTTTCAGTATTTGTCAGTTTCTCTCACATTCTTTTTCTCATTTTTATTTTTTAACTTTATTTATTTTTAGTACTAAGGATTGAACCCAGAGGTGCTCTACGATTAAGCCACATGCCCAGCCCTTTTTATTTTGGGAGGGGCCTGAGGATTGAACCCAGGGGTACTTAAATACTGAGCTACACACACACACACACACACACACACTTTTTTTTAAAGACAGGGCCTTGCTAGGTTGTTTAGGGCCTCCTGCCTCAGCCTCCCGAGTTGCTGAGATTACAGGCGTATACCATCATATCTGAGCCTTTTTATTTTTTAACTTTTAGACAGGGTCTCTAAGTTGCTAAGTCTGGGGACTTGTGATCGTCCTTCCTCAGCCTCCTCAGTAACTGGGATTATATTCATGCACCACCATATTCAATCCTTTCTCTTTCTTAAAGGAAATAATTTAATCTAAATACAGAATACTTTACTGACACCATAGGAATTCTATTCTGATTTACAAAGGTTATAAAATCAGTTTGACATTATAAGGAAAAATTACCTAAGCCACAGCTGGTAAAGATGAATTTGTGGGCTGTATGTCTGCTGGGTTTCATTTCTGGGTTTCTAATTCTGATTTGGAATACTTTTTCATACTTTGTATCATTTTCTTAAATGACCTTTAGTTCACTTTGAACTAGGGCACAGTTTGATTTGCCTCTGGGCATCTTCTGAATGATGTTCTGTTATCTTTTTTTCTTTTAATCTGGAATTGATTTTTCTAACTTGTTCAGATTGATAGAAGGAGATGTGGTTCAGGATAGTTTTTCTGACTTTCCCTAATTCCTTCAGGCTTGCTCTTTTCTTCCCTGTGCTGGGGATCAAGCCCAGGGTCTCACAGTAGGCCATGGCTCTACCACTGAGCTACATCCCTCTCCAACCCTCAAATACTGGACTCCTGTTGGACAGCATCACCCCTTTTCACATTCATTTTTGCATGATACTTTTTATCACAATAACTGCCACTGGAGAGATTGAGGAGTTCCCAGAGAAGGAGACTTCAACTTAAGACAAGTATAGTTCTTGGGGCTCTTGACAGAACATGCAGAAATGATCTTAAGGGTATATCAACTAGAGACACAGACATATAATTTAGGAATATAGAGACATTCAAGGGCAAATGTGGGCCATCTAGAAAGTAAGAGATGGATTTGGGGTTCCCAGCTCCTCTTTTAAAATTAACTTGGGGGGGCATGGGAAGGTGTGTGGAGATGACATCAATCTGATTATAAGCAGGTTTATGGTGGTCTGGTCATTCTCTGAATCCCTAGGCTGACATGGTCTCTATTATTTGATCAGTAGATAACATTGGAAAGTACCCTTAATTACAGGTTTCTTAAAATATCATCTCTCTTGTTTAATCTATTCATTATGTATGTTAATAAACAATGCACAAGGCAATTTTTGAAATATATTTAGTTGTCAATGAACCTTTATTTATATATGTGGTGCTGAGAATCAAACCCAGTGTCTTACACATGTCAAGCAAGTGCTCTACCACTGCACCACAGCCCCAGTCCCAGAAGGTAATTTTTATAAGTCAATGAATTTATGATAGCTTTAAATTTACACATTTTCCAGAAATTGGGGAGTGATGGGCCTGGAAGAAAAACTACTTGGGGAGTGACAGGCTTGAGAGAGAGAGCTGGCCTAGGGAGGGATTTTTTTAGATTAAAGTTGTATTTCATTGTCCTCCCTCTATGTCATAACAGCCCCAAAGCACAGCTTGGCAAAGACATAATGTCATCCAGAGGAATGTAGAGCCATGCTGTTGAAACCCGTCTGCTTCACGTTGGTAGCATGCCCGCAGCTTGACAGATGTCCGGCATTACTATTTGTCTCATCTTGAAAACATACCACGGTGCCCTTTTGAGTTTGCACTGGGGCCCTGGCGCTCCTTGGCACACAGTTTGGGGACCACGATCTCAGTGCTCCTGCTGCTGCTGCAGATCTGAAGACCACTCTCAGGAGCCACAAAGGTGTCAGCTCTGTGTTTTTTTTTTTTTTTTTTTGCTGGGGATTGAACCCATGGGCTCACACAGGCTAGAAAAGTACTCTCCCGTGGAGCTACACCCCAGTCACCAAGAAGAGTTTGAAAGTGGTATGGATGAGATAGGTATTTGGGGGTTCAGAGAAAAATACCACATCTCACAAAATAGGTGCCCATGAACCATTGGCCTGCAGTAATCACCCATGAAGCCTTTGAATGCTAAAGCAGCAACTCAGGCATCCCTGCTGTGTCCTTGTGGCCATATCCTAGCCTGCAGAGGAGCAAGAGGCAGGGCAGCGCCCAAGCACAGGGCAAAATGGTGCCAAGTGGCCTGACCCTGCCCTGGCTCCACCTCCTGTCCAGGCCAGCTGCTGTCCCACTGACTACCAACACTTGCATTTTCAATAAATCTCTTGTGCCTTAATATGACTCATGTTGAAATTATTTTTTCCTTTTTTGCAGTACTAGGGATCGAACCCAGGGTTTCCTTACCACCGAGCTACATTCCAAGGCCCTTTTTATTTTTACTTTTTATGTTGAGACAGGCTCTTGCTAAGTTGCCCAGGCTGGCCTTCAATTTGAGATTCTGCTGTTTACATGGCCTCTTGAGTCACTGGGATTACAGGTGCGCGCCACCACACCTACCTGTTACATATGTCCAGGGCCCTGTCATCTTGAGTTGAGGTCCCCCTTTTTGGGGCCTCCTTGGACAAACTTCTAGTGACATTTCCAGCCAAGTAGAAAATTTCTTCCTTTGGTCTCATACACTAGGTAAGCAGGCAAGTCAGTTAAAATGGATTTAAAATGCTGAAATCAAACCGTCTGGAAGCAGCTGTGCACGCGTGTTCCGTAGGTGCGTTTTCTTGGAGATGCCCAGACAGCTGAATGTATGTTGGGAAGACCCGTGTACCGTTTCTTAGTTTTGAGGAGGGGGATAAGAGCACATTCTTAATGGTAGGCTTATTGACCTTGATGGTCAAGAATATTTGACTATTCAGATTTGCTTTGTGACCTGCCTCAGTGAGTTTGATTGACTGCTGGTTTGAGAGGTTGTCAATCAGCCTGCCAAAGACTTGTCTTTCAAGAGAGTTTATACTAAAATGAAGAGAAAACAGTCGACTTCTAGAAGGGTCATTGAATGGTTAGGGCGAGCTGATGGCTGTCACTTCCCGTGTGCTCCCCCGTTGAAGACTGAGCTCTGTCCTTAATGAAGTGTGATCTATTGAGAAGCAAAGCACTAGAAAGTGCGTGTGAAGACGTGTGAAGGCGCTGGCACTTTCTGGACCTCTCCTCGCCCTTTCTCGTTCTAAGGTCTCAGGAAATGCGGGCAAGTCAGGAAAAGGTGCATCCTGGATGGAAACCTGCTGGCTCCTTTTCTGGAATTTTGAAAACCCAGCAGTTGATACTGCAGAGCATGCTGCCCAGTGTGATAGGAATCCTAGGGAGAGCCCAAGCCCTGATGGTGCACTTGACACCTAAGAGAAATGGCTGTGGAGTAAATTCAGCCCTTGCTTTACGGCATGAGCAGGGCAGCAACCTGCCATACCCCAGCACCTCCCCAGGGTCAACATGAGCTTCCCAACATGTCACTCTTTACAAACGAGTCTTCAGGGGCTTCTTATGATCTATAGAAAAAGGAATGTGGGTTTTGTTAGGCTGTACTTTGGTGTGACCAGAGTTATAAATCATAAAGACAAATCCTAGGATAGAAGAGACCATCAAGGTCAAGGTAGTCTTCCCTTAAAATAATTGTATATTAGTCAGAGACTGGTGGTAACTACAGTATTTGAATTACCTGTCCAGGTGGAAAGCGGGAACCTGGAAGCTCCTTCAGTTGACCTGTAGAACTGGCTTTGCACCTGAATGTGGCACCATTGCCCACTGAGCTCCCAGTTGGTCCAGACATAACTGCTTGCCTTTCAGCTGAGGCAGGAGAAAGCAGGGTCAGGAGCTGATGTAACTGTGCTTTCCTCTCCCGTAGCGTGTTCCATGGGAAACGGCACGAGCAGACTTTATAGTGCTCTCGCCAAGACACTGAACAGCAGCGCTGCCTCTCAGCACCCAGAGTACTTGGTGTCACCTGACCCAGAACATCTGGAGCCCATTGATCCTAAAGAGCTTCTCGAGGAGTGCAGGGCTGTCCTGCATACTCGACCTCCCCGGTTCCAGAGGGACTTTGTGGATCTGAGGACAGATTGCCCCAGTAGCCACCCACCCATTAGGGTCATGCAATGGAACATCCTCGCCCAAGGTATGCCTGATGCTTCTGTGCTGTGACTTCCTTTCTGCTTCTGCACATGCTCAGTGCTCTGGTGTCTGTGTGCAGGGGAGATGTGTGGAAGGAAGGGGTGACTGTCTTTTATCAGGCAACTCAATAGAAGATCCTTAAGCCTGTTGCCTCCAGTTTCCAGTCCATCGCTGTTAGGTGGCATTGGCGAGGTAATATGGAGAATTTTGTGCAGGAGACAGAACCGGGGTGGAGGAGCCTAGGTGTTTTTGTGACTCGTTTCCAATTCGTTCTCAGCTGTATAACTGGAGACCAAAAAGATGTAGCTTCAGCTCTCTGTTCATTGAAATATTTTGTTACTGTAGAAAGGTCTCCTTTCCTGATTCTGCTGAATTAAAAAACAGATGTGTCAATCAACCTTCTGTACACTGCCTTTTATGTAGCAGTAGACATTTTAAGGAAAAGAAACAAGGCCCCATTTATTTATGGATGCATGTATGTCTTTAGCTTCTGGAAAAGAAGGAAATATGCTGACTTTACCAATCTTTTTTTCCAAGTATTCCTTCATAAGTAGGAAAAGTACCCATTTAAAGTTCATTCTGAGTAGCGTCTAAATCAGTTCACATGGCTTTATTATAGTCAGTGTTAAAACTAATGTATAGAGTAAGATATATTTATTTCATTTGACAAATTTTAGTTCCTTGGATGGCAAAGAACAGTTCTCTAACTAAAGCTGAAACCAAAGATCTTTTAGTTTGGAATATAGTTTAAAAAAAAAATAGTTTGATACAAAAGAAGTCAGTTGCTTGCTTCATCTAGATGCTAAGAGGTTATTTAATTTGGGGGGATTAGTGGAGTGTAGACTGAGAAGAACCACCCAGGGCATCTAAAGCAGAAGCCTGGAGTGGACCTGACCTCAGGAGCCTCCGGCTACCTTGAAGTCATGGTTCTGTAGTAGCTGTCAACTGACCGCCTCTTTCTTTACAGCACTTGGAGAGGGCAAGGACAACTTTGTACAATGCCCTGTTGAAGCTCTCAAGTGGGAAGAGAGGAAGTGTCTCATCCTGGAGGAAATCCTCGCCTACCAGCCAGACATACTATGCCTGCAAGAGGTGGACCACTATTTTGACACCTTCCATCCGCTCCTCAGTCGACTGGGCTATCAAGGCACCTTCTTCCCAAAGCCCTGGTCACCTTGTCTGGACGTTGAACACAACAATGGACCAGATGGCTGTGCCTTATTTTTTCTCCAGAACCGATTCAAGCTGGTCAACAGTGCCAATATCAGGCTGACGGCCATGACGCTGAAAACCAACCAGGTGGCCATTGCTCAGACCCTGGAGTGCAAAGAATCAGGACGACAGTTCTGCATCGCCGTCACCCACTTGAAAGCTCGCACTGGCTGGGAGCGGTTTCGGTCGGCCCAGGGCTGTGACCTTCTCCAGAACCTGCAGAACATCACCCAAGGGGCCAAGATTCCCCTGATCGTCTGCGGGGACTTCAACGCGGAGCCCACCGAAGAGGTCTACAAGCACTTCGCGTCCTCCAGCCTCAACCTGAACAGCGCCTACAAGCTGCTGAGCGCCGACGGGCAGTCGGAGCCCCCGTACACCACCTGGAAGATCCGGACCTCGGGCGAGTGCAGGCACACCCTGGATTACATCTGGTACTCGAGGCACGCGCTGAGCGTGCGCTCGGCGCTGGACCTGCTCACCGAGGAGCAGATCGGGCCCAACCGGCTCCCCTCCTTCAACTACCCCTCCGACCACCTCTCTCTGGTGTGTGACTTCAGCTTTAACGAGGAACCCGACGCACTTCTATGAAAGCTCATCTGGCCTTTAATCACAGGAGTCTTAACCAGGGATGTTCCGGAAACTGAATAGGAGAGGAAGTTGCCTGAGGAGGGTCCCCAGGCTCTGCTCCCTTCCTGCCTTTCCAGCATGCCCTTGGGAAGATCCCGTTAGTTCACGAAACTTTTCAATGAAAACCTGTAGCAAAAAAGCTGTTTGCACTCCAGTTTCGGCTTCTCTGTCCTCCCTCCTGAGCATTCCCTTTGGATCTGTCATTTAAGGGCATTCAGCTGGGCTCGCTTGAAGCTTCTCAGTTTGCAAATGCTTAGAAACTTGCGGGCTTGCTCGCCTCCTCCATAGCGAACACTCAGTATGTAGGAAAATCTCGCTAGAGCGCGTTTCAAGTTATTTATTTGTGAGTTTTTCAAATGTCATCAAGATATGCATGGCAATATTTATTATTTTTATATCTTCATGTAAAACTAAATTATAGCATCATAAACGTTTTAGAACCGTGCAAGACACAAGTTATAAGTAACTTATAGTGATTTTCTTCAAGCTTTAAAATGTTCCCCTCTGGCCTAACAACGTGTACAGAGCAGCTGTTCAGCCTGGAGGGTGGGGAGGGTGTTATCTAAGTCTGAATATGGGGACTGATGCGCTCTTGACCAATACTGCTCTCTCTGCCTCTATGTTTCCCATTGTGTTTCTTGAAGAAATTCCAGTTAGTTTTCCATTATTTAATCACTGCTGGGTATTGTCCTTTTTCCATTGGGATAATAGTCATATACATTTGAAAGTTAGTCAGTATCATCATTTTGTGTTGGAATGTGCTTTAACCATGATTATTTAGGAGCTGTTATGTGGCCCTGGCTAAGAAAGCCAGGGGGACCTTCTTTTCACAGATGTGAAGGCTATTTTGTTTTGTATTTGTTTTGGGTTCTTTGTTTTGTTTTTGGTACTGGCGATTGAGCGCAAATGTGCTTTACCACTGAGCTACATCCCCAGCCCTTTTTCTTTTTTGTTTTGAGACAGAGTCTTTCTGAGTTGCCCAGGCTGGCCTCAAAATTTGTGGTCCTCTTGCCTCAGCCTCCTGAGCTGCTAAGATTACAGAGATGGGAAACTTTATAGAAAGCTTCTAATTGGGCTGTCATAGAAATTTCCTAGGAAAGCCAGATGACTGTGGTTTAAAACATCTACGAAGAAGAATGTAAGAAGTTAAAAAGATAACCCACAATTCTTAACCATCAGAAATAAAAGTGATAAAGATAACAGGTAAAGCCTCTTCCAAACAACATATCCCATCAGGAGTAAACTGGTACATATTTTATTGTATGAGTTGTAAATATTTAAGATTAATAAATGGCCTTTTAAAGCTTGTGCTGTTGATGTCTTGTCTTTTTAGTTCAAAAAGAATCTGGGAGCAGATTGATTCTTGATGTGGTCACGTGGTGATCCGCTCTAGCCACTGCTACGTGGAACCTCACATCACAGTGGGCACGCCCTGGTTTCTGTGGTTGTGGCTCAGTAGCACCCAGGATTTGCTTATGTGGTCCCTCAGTGCCCAGGCTGCAGGTCCCCAGCATGGCTCATCCAAACATTCCAAGTTGGAATCACTCTCAGAACAAGTGAGGTTTTCAGTGGTTTTGTACATAGAAGAGCTGGGACTACCTGGGAAGAAGAGCAAGCAGGGAGAACCACTGCACCAGGGCACTGGAGAGTCTTAGATGTCTCGTGTCATGTGTTGTTGAGAAACAGTAGGGTCAGAGTGCTTTACTCCGCAGTTTACCTGCCCTAAAGCAGACCAACCTGAAGAGAAATTACGAGAGCCTTAAGCAGGCAAATCCAGGTGAGGATGAAAGCCAGAATTACTTAGAACTTCAAGTATCACCAACAGCAAGGGCTGGGGGGAATGTTGGGTGGGTAGGAAGACCACTGGGCAAAAAGGTTTCTGGAAATATCAGTAAGTGAACCAAATAAGGTAAGGAGATTGAGATAAACCCACTGTGCAACTTGTGGCAGGAGGCTGAATGTTTAATGAAATGCTTCTGTTGTTTGCATTTTCTTGTCTTCATTTGAAGTATAATTAAGTGAGCATTCTGGTCTGAGAATTTTGGAAGAATATATCAATCTTGTGTTGCATTTCATGTTTTGAGTGTGTCTTGTAAGTCTGTTTTTGTGACAGCTTTGCTCTGTGGACTATCAGAGTAACCTGAAGGTATAATGGTAAGTTAACAAATTGTTGCACAGCACTAAATATAGATTCTAAAATTTTAAGTAGGTTCTATGCATAGATTCCTCCCATTCCATTCCTAGGTACTTTTTGGTCCTGGTTTTCCAGTGTGTGTGTGTATGTGGTGTTGGGGATTGAACCCAGGGCCTTGTGCCTGCAAGGCAAGCTATATATCCCTAGCCCTTTTGCTTTTTTTGGTACCAGGGATCGAACCCAGAGGCACTTGACCATGAGCCACATCCCCAGACTCTGCTTTTCCTTTTTTATTTCATACAATTTGATTACTATTAAAATAAGTCTTAGAAGTTGAGTTCCTTACATTTAGTTCTTTGCATATGATTAAAACAAAAGGCCAAATAATTTGAGCAATGTGGCAGTAAGAGTTGAGGGCTTGGTGCAGTGTAATCCCTGTAGCTCTGGAGGCTGAGGCAGGAAGATCACGAGTTCAAAGCCAGCTTCAGTAACTTGTCAAGGCCCCAAGCAACTTAGTGAGACTCTGTTTCCAAATAAAATATAAAAAGGCTGGGGATGTAACTCAGTGGTATTAAAAAAAAAAGTAGCTGAGGATTCAAACCCATGTCCATCTTGACTCCAAAGTGCTTGCTTTGTCCCCCTTCACCATGTTCCCTTAGCCTCAGTGAGTACAAGTGGAGGGCAGAGTGGTATTATAGGGAGCAAGGAGTTTGTTAACTGCAAAACAGTCACCAGCCGAATGGTGGAGGCCTGGGTGTTGAGCTTTTGAAATAAGAGGAGAAAAGTCATGTCAAGGGGTACACAGGCTATCCTTTAAAGGCAGCATTGTGACCCTAAACAACCCCATCTGTAAGGCCTTGGCTTTCTCATTGAATCTACCTTCCTGTGAGATATCCACAAAGGATTATGAATTATGTGCATTGTGGTGTACACCTGTAATCCCAGTGACTTGGGAGGCTGAGGCAAAAGGATCACAAATTTGAGGCCAGCGTCAGCAATACCATAGAAAGAGCTCGGGATGTAGCTCAGTGGTAAAGTGCTGCTGAGTTTAATCACCAGTACCACAAAAAAAAGAGAAGTTAATACATTCATATGTAAGCCATTGGATAATAATACTTAAGGTTCAAAGTGAGAGGGAAAGAATGACCCTGTGCTTTGTGTCCTAACCACACCTGTTTTTGGCCAAAGAGAATAACCATTTTGAAAGGTCAGGATCAATAGTGTTGTAGAAATTTAAGCCCAAAATAGGTGAGGGGCTGATAGAATGGCAAGAAATTTGCAATTTTGAGTTAGTTCTTAAGTCTTGAGAGACTCTGTCAATCCTGCTTTGGTTTGTAATGTAGAAATACCTGCTTTGAATGAATACCCACAGCTGCAGGTCCCAGACTTCTTTGGAAACCTCATTTCCGAGAAAACATTCACGTTAAAAGGAGAGTGCAGTGGAAGCCCTGCCTCCTGACAGTCCTGACAGAGCCTGGCTGCCTCTAAGCATCTGGTGAACTTGGACTAGGTGGATCTCGACTGATTGTTTTTGCTTTGGCAAGGAAGATGTACTCTGAAACCAAAGTTAATAGCTGAATTTTAAACATTGTATAACATTTGTCCGCATGCATTCTGCATATTAATTTTCTTTACCACCCTTTTTCTTGCCTAGTTTCTTCTATTTTTATTAACTTTTATTATTTATTCACAGCATTTAAAAAAATTTTTTTTTCAGTACTGGGGATTGAACCCAGGGCACTGAACCGTACCCTCAACCCCTTTAATTTTTTTTTTCTCAAAAAACAAAATAACCAAATTTAGTTTGACATTTCCTCTGATCTAAAGAGAAAGATGTCAATAAACAAAACAAAACCAAAAAAACAAAACAAAACCTAGGACATACATACAGCCACCTACCCTGATGAATTCAGATAATCTAAAAGAAAAAAGAAGGGCAAAAGTTCTGTTCAACAGAGAAAATCATCTTCGTTTTTGGAAGATGTTTCCATGTCCCGTTCCATGTCCTCTTCCTCTTGTAGCCACTTGGGCCTTCAGAATAGCAGCTTTTCCCTGGCCACCCCCTGAACCTTGGTTTTTATTTTTCATGCTCTATTTTTAGGGTCTCACTAAATTGCTAAGGCTGATCTCAAATTTGTGATCCTCCTGCCTCTATCATCCCAGCAAATGGAATTACAGGCATGCACCACCCTGCCCAGCTTCTTACCTATATTTTAAAGAATAAGACAAGCACTTTTTTTTAGTCATTTGCCACATAGCTGTTTTAAATCTTCTATCATTCAAAATTCAAGTCTTCCCAGCCTCCTGATACTCACATGTGACCCCCAATCTGACCTCACCTGGCGTATTATATATTATGAGAAACAAATCTTTGGTGTACCTGAAGAAATCACCCAGCAAATTCTGCAACATTTTAAAATTCCATTTGTGAGATGGGTGCGGTGGCAAATGCCTGTAATCCCAGCTACTCAGGAGACCCAGGCAAGAGGCTTGCAAGTTCAAGGCCAATGTGGGCAATTTAGCAAGACCCTGTCAAAAAATAAGAGCTGTGGTTGGGCATAGCTCAGTGATAGAGAGAAGGGAAGTGAATCAATTTGTGAGAAATCAAGGACATTTACTAACCTTGTTTTCTTCCCTGACCCCCTTTGTTTTGGATGGACAGGATGGGGTTGAGCCTAAAAATAAACTGGGAACCCCAGGAGGTCAGCCACTGACCAGCTGAGCTTACTCAAAAGTTTTTCTGAACTTTAGGTTCTTCACTGAAATTGTGTTGGGGGAAGAAGGGTGTACTGGGAATTGGACCCAGGTTGCTCCACCACTGAGCTACATCCCCAGGCCTTCTTACTTTGAGACAGGATCTCACCAAGTAGCCCAGGCCAGCTTTGAACTTACCATCTCCCTGCCATGCCACACCCAGCTTTTCTCCAAGGTTGCTAAAAAATTATTAAAATTAAAAACCGAGTTACTGCTGCCACTGCCCAAATAGTTATGATAATCTGGGGAACTGCTTCCACACTTCATGAAATTAAAAACTAGTGTGACCTTGACAGGGCATTTGCCTCTTAAAATACATTTTGAGGACTTGGGCTGAGGCTCAGTGGCAGAGCACTTGACTAGCACATGTGAGCATTGGGTTCGATCTTGAGCACCACATAAATATATAAAATAAAGGTATTGTGTGCATCTACTAAAATGTATATATTTAGATATACATATCTAAAGTGTGAGAAAAAGGCTTTTAAATCAATAGGACATATAGTAAAACATGAAGCTTTTTTTTTTTTTAAAGATCCATTTTTTATGCTTAATATATTTCAAACTATCTTTTCCCAGTGCATGCTTTAAGAACTCTCAGGTTAGCCCCTAATCCTTAGACTCTGCTTGCTGTAGCTGCCTGGCAAGGTTCTCACCTGGCTGCACAATGCAATTGCCTAGAGATACTTTTAAAATACCAATCAATACCTGGCTGCCACCCCAAACACTGTCATTTCGTATCTGGTATTGAATGTGCCCTGAGCAGCAGCATTGTCCCAAGTAATTGGAATGTACAGCAGTTAGCACTGTTTGGTCGTGGTAATGGCCTAAAACCTCAACTTGCATGTTACTTATTTTACTGTTTTGGATGATGATTTCATTTCATTATTTTACCTTTTTGAACAGCAATTGGATTTGTTTCATTAAATGAAATCTACCATAGAAAGGATTTTCTCAAAGTTAAACATACTAAAGTGGGATGGAAGAAACAGTATCGTGGGAGAGGACAACTTTCTTTTAGATTGCAACCTACTCATCAGTTTTTGTTGTTTTTGGTGGTATTTTGCATTCAACAGTTGGTTCACTTGGATTATGTCCTCACTTTGGAAACTGCAATATTGTTTAGTTCTGAACTCCAGCATTACTGCTTAGTTGAGGTATTCAAAGAGTGCTGGATGCTCAAAATAGTCTTTGCTGTAACTGATGCAGAGGAGGTAAATTGAATCCACTGATATTTGCCAACAGTATCTTACTCTACTTAGGGCTGGCTTCACTGTGTACCAAGTTCCTACAGTTTTCATCATGAGAGGCAGTAATTATTATAACAATGGGACTGAAGAAAACAAGTCACAATCACAGAGGTCTCAGTATTGTGAACAGTCAAAATCTGTAGAGGGAACAGTTTTGGTGGATTTTTTAA